GGTTAATAATAGGTTTCACACCATGAGTCATTCGGGTTTTCCCTCCTGCATGCAGTTGTAAACGTTTCTCCCATCATGGCCCTTGGTTCTGTCTGTCAGTCTCTGTCACAAACATGTTATCCTATACTTAGTATCACTGTCATTTAGTCCCCAGGGCATTTCTGGCTTTTTCCACTGGTGCTGGGAACTGCACCCCCACTCTCCACTCCCTCCCAGCTCACTAATGAATCATCTGTCATGCAGGTTCATCATGAAGCTATAATGCAAGTATGGTGTTCATAGGAAGATCCGCAGTGCTATTTACAGCAGGCAAACATTTATCAGTACTGTGATTAGAAAGTGGTGTAGAAAGTCTCCAAAAACTCGCACCAAGGAGCCGCAACACGATGGATGTAGAAAAACATGTCACAGCCCTCAAATTTGTGAAGAGATGTTGGGAAGCTGACAGAGCTTGAAAAAATCTGCCTAACTTTAAGCCCTAATATTGTTTCAATGAAATGCAGTTCTGAAAAGATCCAGAGAGTGATGAAGGTGACAAACTGAGGAAAAGAAAAACAGGAACAGATTGAAGCAATGCGTCAAAGATAATTTGAAGAACCTTTCTTATAAAATATTACAGAAGACGATTAGGGCCACTGTAAAAAGAATTCAGACTTTTTTCTGATTAAAGCCAGAATTCAGAGAGAAAAGTCAGAACTCAAATACATTTTTTACAGTGGCCTTAATCATCTTCTGGAAAATATGTTGTTGCAGCTTAAGATAAATACAAATTAAATGTGCAGACAATGAAATAAAATAAAAATTAGAGGTTTAATGTAACATGAAATTGGCAAAGTAGGAAAAAAGTGAACCATGTGATTTAATAAGCTGGTTTTATTGCAGGATCATATTGTGTCACCATTCCATGATGTGTACAACAGCACGAGTGGCTTTGAGATGGTTCTATAAATTGAAAGGGAGACCGAATTATGCTTCAGTGTCTTCATGCTAGTTCTCTCTCCTTATGTTTAACCCCACCCACCAAAGCTGCGGCCCTTCGTCCTTCCAAATCACCTGGAGCCTCTGGAGGAGATTTTGTCAATGACCACTTCTCTCTCTCTTCTTTTGAAATGAACACAAACCGATGCCATACATGCACCAGGAATCAAGAGATTTCTGCCAAGCTGCAACTTTAGTTTCACATTTAAAACTGCCCAAGGCACAAAAATAAACAAATAAATAAATAATACTGCGAATGTACAGTGGAGAAGAGCTATGTGTTTGCCAAGCAAGGTCAGAGCCGTGCAGGGAGGAGGCTGAGTTGATGTCATCCTCAAGCTGACTACACTCACATTTGTCCCAGATGGATTTCAAAAATATGTATTTAATAAAATACCCATAATTTCTGAATGAATGCACAGACCCACTGATAGTTTGGAGGCAGATAGCTGATCTGATTACTTGGTTTTATATATGTGTATACACACACACCCTCAGAATCCCAGGTGACCATTTCATTAATGCAGGTGTCTCAAATTTAGGCAATCAGTGAAACCAGCGCTGTTTACACTGTCTCACCACAACATAGCACACTAAAAATGGCTATAAGAATCTTCTCAAGATTTGTAAATGTCATAAAATAATTGATGAAATTTTTATTGTCCATGTCTTGCACTGGCGCCTGTTATTTTTCTGCAGCCATGAGCACCTCTAGATCCAAACAGACGAGTTTAACTGTCTGGTGGATGAAATAATGGATGAAATGAACTGATATAATTAGACATTATCGGCTCCACCCGTTGATGCTGATCATAATAATCAATCCCTCCAGAATGCTGCAAAAACAGCACAGTTAAAATGTGTAATAATTTAGTGTTGCCTAAAAGCTAAAAATATAAAAAACAGTCTGTCAGCTGTTAAGACAATGCTGTACTTTCAAGAACTTGCTGATAACCATATGTTAATTGATCCAGAGAGTGTCTTTAAGGATCTTAGGAATGATTCATTTATAGGCATTTCTGATGGTTTTTACTTGACCAGTCTAGTTTTTTTTTTCCAGTTTCTGTAGAAAACAAGCTAAACCCTCTAATGCTCCTGAGTTAAATCTTTCATTTATCCTTGTTACCAGCAGTGCTGTGTAGTGCTGCCACAGCTTTATAAACCAAGTGGACTGGAGACAGTTCAGGTACGGTAACTTGTTCAATTAGAGACGTTTGTTGGACACAGGGAGTGACTGAAAAGGTAGTTAGCAGATCAAAGGAAATAGATTTGTAGAGTTTATGCACTTTGCACTTTAATTTCAAGCCAAAAGCTGCATTAGATGCTAAATAAATAAATAAATAATCCAATGATTCTCCCAGTTTGTCCGGTTTTGTGAAGGCCTGGTTTGAAGATTGGCTGAATTTGCATACGTAAATCGTATGATCACAAGACTGCAAACGCACTGAACAATGCCTTCGCCTGGCTGCAGACTCTTTCTGGCTTTGGTGACCTGAGTTTGTGCTTACACCTGCGTTTTCATGCAGATCCAGGGAGCTCAGAGTTAGTCTGGTCTGCCTTTTAAAGTTAGTTGCGACAGCACTTGGCAGTTGCTTCCTGTTTCTCTCCGTCTCTCCTGCGTCTGTCACTTGGCTTCGGTCAAACAGTAGCCAGAAAAACTGTTTGGTTCTTTGGCTCAGCCCGCTGAGATTTAATTTTACTAATGAGATTGTTTCTGTTGCTGAGAGAATGTTTGTTTAACTACATTACATTTAACTCTTTTAGTAGCTTTTTAATGCAGCTTATTAAAAACAGCTTTGCATTATTTCCTGCCTCAAATAGAAGTTTAAACATAGATGCTGTAGAAGCTGTTTGTTTTACAAATATTAATAAAAGAAAACAAGGCAACAAATAGAAAAATGGACAGACCCTCACAGGACATGATGAAAGGGCCTCCCCTCACAAGGCAACCTGGATTAAGTGTGTAGTTGCACCGTGGAGCACATTCAAGAGACAAAATATTTAATTAGAAGCAAGATATTGCTTCCTGCTCCCTGTTTGTTTTGAGGTGAGATGTTTCTAAGGCTTTGGGGATTTTTATCTCATCTGTATTAATTAGTTTTTTCTCTCTGTTGTTTTGTTGTCTCATTATTTTGTTTATCTGCTTCACTTATTATCGTGCCAGTAACAGCACTGAACCTCTTTGAGACAATTCTTTCCAATGAAACATGACTTCAGCACTCACTTCAGCATATTTGCATTTGAGAATTACTAAATTCCTACAATATATGCTTCACAGTTGGTCATATTCATCCTCAAGGTTTTAAAAATCTCACTGGTTGTCAGGCAGGGTTTGCTTCAAATCTTGGCCACAAATGCACTCGTGCTTATGATTTTATAATGGCCTCACAATTTTGTAAAGTGTTTGAACTGCAGTTTTTCTTGTCTAATTGCTTCTCTCGCTTTCTCCCTCTTATCTTTTTGTCTGTCCCTTACTGCCTCTGTCTAGCCTGTTTCCTTTCCCCCAGTCTCTGTCCTCCCATCTGTCTCTGCCTCACTATCTCCATCCATCTGTCTCTTTTGAAGATCTATGCTCACTCTTGATTTACTGAGGTATACTACATGCATACAAAGCCCCTCTAAAGATTAGTGATGCTATCACACTCTTTTGCATCACTTCAAGGGAGAAATCCCTCCTCAGATTCAATGGAGGACAGATTCTTAAAAGAAGACCATCTTCAATTTATAGTGCCATGACACAGCGTTAACACACGAAAAGAGCTTTTAATGTGAAAAAGCTTACTTCACATTGACTTTGCCTTTTTTTTATTAATCGTCACTAGGCAACTATAAAAATGTGCCTATTTACACAGGTTTTTAATCTAGAAGCTCTTTTCTTTCATCCATTTTTCATATCAGATTAAAATGATTATTAACGGCCTGTAAAATAAAGGCTTACCATAATTTTCAGAAACTTTATAACCCACTATTCTCCAAATGGAGATGTATTGATCATCCTAACAGGACACCTGTAAGCAGCATGCTTTTCCTTCAGTAACCTGCTGTGACATTCGGTGTACATCAGGTATATTTACAAAAACACCAGTTATGACCTAATGTGAATATGGCAGGACTAATTACTCAAGATTGATTTTGGTGAAAGTATTCTATCCTCAAAATTGATTAGGGCAAGCCCTTTTATTACTTTTTCGTGCTTTAAACCTGCCAACTTAAACATGTTTAAGGTTCAGACAATAGCGTAGTTAAAACCGAGGCCTACGCGTGCAGATATTCTCACTTATTTGCTGAATCAGGCTCCTCTCATCTCATTTCACCTCAAATAATCCCCATTATAGCTCCACCCACCTTGTACCTGAGCAGAGGTCTAATTATCCAGAATAACTGGCAGCGCCTGTGAGAATGTGCTGGGCTTTGACCTTTTTACCTCACTGCATAAAGATTAACCTACTTTTTCAGGCAACACATTTTGACTCGTCAGAGTTGGAAATGCACAGGTGTGTCTAATGAAATAAATGGCTGAATTCCATTTAGCTGCTCTGGTTTCAGGGTGATGTGGCCTACATGCTGCCTGACTGGCACACTTAATGTTAATGGAAACACCTGTTTTACTTATGACAAGTCCTAGAATATACAGAAAACACAACATGAACAATTTTTAGGGAGGCTTCATTACAATTAATAGTTAAGCACAAAAGAGAACAACATGATAAACACGCAGGCAGTCGTTGTTCACATTTACACAGTTGCTTCCAAAGATACCAGCTATGTCAGCTCGGAGTTTAATGTGCTCGTAGGAGACATCTATGCTGCAGAGCCTTAAACATAACTTCACTCAGTGGAATGATCATAGCACTTCAGTGAAAAGCTGGAAGACGTCGATACAGAACACTGCCCGGCTGTCAAAATAAAAATGTTTTCCATCTTTTAAGTCTTTTTGTGAACCTGTCACATGACCTCATTTTTGACTTCAGATATGTTCAGTAGCCAAGAAGAATAAGCGCTTCTAAATTGCTGCAGCATCAAAGCGCACCGTATATATGTCATCCTGCTTTGAGCAATAAAGCGTGACCTTGCTGCATAACTCAGTATTTTGATACATGCGAGCTCCGTGTTCGCTCCATCAATCGTGGCCGTCTACCAACAGACCAACCAACAAGAACATATTAAAAGTGGCATCCGTATACCCGTATTGCCACATACAATCTAAGGCCCTCTGTTTATTGAATTATATATCTTCTTGGCCTCGTTTAGAGTTGCCTTTGTCACCGCGAGCGATCGATACGCTGGCGCTGCTGAGGCTAACAAGGGGCTTCGTCTGCTGTGGCCAGCACTCCCGCCTGTCACCAGATGGTATTTATTACGTGCTTTGTTTTAACATCCATTCAGTATGAGTGGAAATCAATTTTTCATTTGGACCTAATTGTCTCTGTGCACTGGCAGCTCAAGGCTCTACGGCCCTGAGCCTGAGCTCCCCTCGGCGTTACGGCGGCCGGGGCCCACCCCACCCTCCACCCAGCTGTATTTTATACCTAATTACACATGTCTGAGGCTCACGGTGAGGAGTACAAAGCTGTGGGGAATTGCTGCAGCGGCGGAGGGCCGAGGGGACTTACTGCTGGTATCTCTCCGGTACGGATTTAGTCATGCTCGCAGTAGCTGTGCGCTGCTCTGAAAGACACTCAGTGACCCAGACTCGCTCTGCCTCTGGTGTTTTACATCACTGTTGAATGCTTGGAGTTTGTGAGGAGCTGCACAGCTTAACGGCTGCATGATGAAACTTCGAGTGCAGCCGAGTTAGAGTAAGGACAAGGATTTCAGGCTACAGAATACTAAACAGAACCACCGCTTCTCAGTTGCTGTTGTGTTTTTTTAACCATTCAAACAGACACTGGAAATCATTCAGATGTTTGCTTCATTAAAGTGCCTTTAATTTAATCTCCATTTTAAAGTTTTGCTATACTGTACATATTAGCTTTGGTAAATACTCTCTTGGTAAGCACTCCATCTTCCACCCCTAACCTCCTTAAAACACTTATACAACAGGATGAACATATGCTTTATTTCATAATTATCTGAAATGTTGATTTGTTTGATGGATGGAAATGATCTCACAGCCAAAAAACTTTTGAGAAGAGAGGAAGGTTGAGCCATAAAGGAGCAGCCAAAATGAGGTTTTACATAGCAAATGATAACACATACACTCAGTTAGCATTTCATTTATTTATCCAGACTTAATGCATTAAATCCTCCTTCATGAAGGTGATAACATTCAGTTCTTGCTGACACTGATTTAGAGAAGTGTTGATTCAACTCTATGGTTTTGGGGAGGATGTAGTTTGTGGTGCTGCTGAACTGTCACATGTTATATTGACAGTTATTTTATCCACCACATTTATATCAGTGCCGTCAGACTGAACAACAGAAACTGTGTAATAGTTCAACAGCGACACAAAGTGAATATTTCAAATGGAAATTTATAGCAGGAGAAATGCTTCAGGAGCCAAAGGTTTTTCTTCTGATACTCAGACTCTGTAGTAGAGAAGTTAAATTTAAATTCTTGTTTGATGGTTTTAATTCTGGTCAGTTTTCTTTTCCTTCTGCTGTTGTACTAGGTATCTGATACTCTGTTCAGTCACTGCTTATCGGGGCATGATTATTGGCCACCGAGGGTGAAAATGCCTGCAAGCGTTTTGTGATCCGGTGAAAAAACACAGCTTTACTGTCAGATATGTAACCGGAGATTGTTTGAGTCAAACTCATCCACTGCTTTTTAAGGTTGGCAGGGCTTTCAGCTGTGAGGTGTTTTACAAATCTTTGTTTTGCTGGTGTTTTGGTTGTTTCTTCCTAACACAGCGGCAGGTGGGGCAGACATACATCTGCACTGGATCAGTACTGCAAGGCTTCAGTAAGTGTGGTGTCATAGCCACAGGTTGCTTCTGAGCACACCCAGTTTTGCAGATTTCATACATGGAAATAAATCCTCTGTGAACCATTTCAGCTGAGAGAACCTTTCCTCCCCCATTTGATTTGGAATTGTTTTTTTGTTTTACAAATCCACACAGCTCCTTTTTTATGAAACCTTAATGGACAGTTCTTAAGCCTCCCACACTGCTGATAAATCTCTTGTGGCATTTGAATCCCTCGAAGCTGCTGAGTACTATGGCTTTACAGCCTTTTATGAAAAGCATGTACTTTTAATTCAGCCTTGCAAGGCTAGGCCTCCATTCACTCCTTAAAGCACATGAATATGATAAGATAAAATAAAGTAAAGCTAGTTCAGGCTTGCCCTGTGATAGACTGGCAGCCTTTCAGTCCCGCTTTCACAGCCAACACTGGATGGTTTTCACAGGGAAGGTTAACACACACACACACACACACACACACACAGAGCTCTTGCAGTCATTCAGGGAAACTAAAACACTATCTCCACTGTTACTGGAAACAAAAGTGTAGCTGGATGAGAT